TCTAGAGCCCTGGGTGGCCTTGTGTAGCCGGCACCCAAGCCCGTGTGGCAACAGCAAGGTGGGCACGGCCCAGAGAACAGTGGAACTCTGTGCACATGGGAGTAATGGCTACTGCTGCCTCTCATCCCACCTGCTGGAGTACAACTGGGTGGGGCACAGAAAAAGCACACAGCGAAGTGACACAGGACAGGAAGTGAAGGAGAATCCTGTATCCAAATCACACTTCCATGGGGATTTGGGGAGACAAAATGGAATCTCAGCAGCTGGGATCAGGCCAGGACATTCAGGGGAGTGATTCCTATTCCCAGGGCAATACCACGAGATCTGGACCGGGACTTCAGACAGCACCTCCAGCAGAAGCCTATAGCCACACCACTCCTTGCAACACCCGATCCGTGCTGCTGGTCTCCCATCTAGATACTGGCATGCGCTCACCTGCTTAGCTTAAATGGCAGGGCACAAACCTTAGTGATGCTCTGACACCCCCGCAGAGAGCAGCGGCCTCCTCCCACTCCCCACACAGGGGTCCCTAGCTAATCCAGTTCCCAGGAGAGCAGCCAGAGCCTTTTGGGCCGTGATGCACTATCCTTTGTGCAGACCCAGGAACATGCCGTGTTACTGCTCACACCTGCAGTCAAAGATCAGCTCAAACCATCGTAAGCCATGTCTCAAAGAGCGATGAGGAAAAGTCATGCCTGACCCTGGGGAAGGAAGACAGCCCTGCACTATGGTCAGGGATGGGCACTGCTGACAAACGCAGCCAGGGGATCAAACCCCAAACACAGTATAGCCCCATCTCCACAGGTCAGACCCCACCCCCATCCCCCAACAGACACCGGCGGGTTCACGGGTAAGCGTTGGTAACGCTGCCCAGTCCGTCAGTCTCTGAGCTGAATGCTCTACATTTGGCCAGTGAGCCCTACCCTCTGGAGAACCAGGTCTCCTCCCGGTCTCAATCTCAGACTTGTAAGGGACCCCACTGTGTCCACGGAGCATTGGCGCTTCTTCCAGTCCTTTGACAGGCTGCCTCTGAGAAACACGCACAAAGCCAGTGGCCGAGCACCATTTGCCGACTGGCACGGAGCAGCCAGAGGCAGAACCTGCCCCAGTTGGGAGTGGCAGGAGTCTCAGAGCTTGAAAGAAAAAATAAAAAGAGCAACGTCACTTCCAATTGATACCATGTCCAACATGCTGCAGTGCGCCTGAATCCTGCAAAAACAGCACAGCAGGCAGTGCCCAACGCCTCTGCTGGAACCGGATGGGACACGGGGCCCCTCTTTCCTCCCTCCCCAGTTAGTTCCTAGGAGTAAGCCGTGACCCTGCTTTCTTCCACAGAGGCACCCACATGATTCACTGCTGTGACCTCCACAAGAAACCAGCCAGCCAACGCCCCATTACAAACACATCAGTTTAACCACCGTGCTACGTATTCTGTATGCTAGGAACGTAGCCAGACGCGCCCATGGTGCTGGGCGCTGCACAGGCTGACAGTAAGCGACTGTCCCTGCCCCCCCAGAGACCAGACAGAGGCAGCAGTGGCACAGCCAGGGGCTGGTCTTCCCACAGTAGGGAAGCTGGAAAGAGCCCAAGGCCAGTGCCAGT